GGGGGGAGAGGCAGACGGGGCGGGGCCTTGAGTAACGTCTACATCCTACCTCTAAAACAGTGTGTGTCCAGCCGAGAGGCATCTGGAATCTGGAATGCGAGGGGACAAGCAGGGGAGGAGGAGGGGGAGGGGGGCCCTGCAAAGAGAGGAGGGCTTGAGAGAGAGGGAGAGGGAAGCGCGACGCCGCCGCGCGGAGACTTGAATGGGCGGCAGCACAAGAGCGCAGCGGCAGCAGCCGCTCTGCCTCGACTTCCGTCCGCCGCTCGGCCTTCTCCGCCGTGCACTGGACGAGGACACTGCGGACGCACGAAATCGCACAAAATCCTGCGTGGCTTGGGCCAGGAAGACGCACTCTCGATTCACGATACATATCGACATCGACGGCGTGACGTCGTCGTAGCCGGTGGTGTGTGTGTGTGTGGTGTGGTTGCAAATCTTTTATCCGAGAAAAAGTAAACCCATAAAAAGAGACGATTAAAGAAAGAGGTGGACAAAAAATGAGACGGCACACGCTGGCAGCGCGGCAGGTGTAGAACGGGCCGTCCCGAGGCAGGTCATGTCTCGCGCTCGCGGCGGCGCGGCGGCGGCCCGGACCGGACCCCTTCCTTCATAGACCCACTTCTGAGGTGTGCGCCACAGCGCAAGCCTATCCGGCAGCCAGCCTCCGGCCTCCAGGGGGGACCACACGCGGATTAAGCACCAGCGCCCGAGACTTCCCTCCCGCGGACACGAACACAGCGAACCGCAGGTGCGGGCCAAATAGGATGCCTAACCCCACGGCGCAAGACGAGCAGCACGATGGGCTGCCTAACCCTCGCGGCGCAGGTGTCCGCCCCCCGTGTGTGACGGGTTGCCTTCCAGCACGGCGCAAGGTACTGGGCACCAGGTGAGCACGATGGGTGGCCTACCAACCGGGCGCAGGCGTCCCACCTGCGTACGACTGGGGGGTGCCTGCCCGCGCGTCTCAGGCGGAAACCCTAACCCTTACCCTTATCAAACTATCCCGACGACACCTACCTGACTCAGGCCGATGCGGAACTGCGCCGGCTCCAGGTCCATGCCGACCACCAGCTCCTGGCCCGTCTTGCGCTCGTCGTCCACGGGGCTGGCGGGCCGCGCCTCGGGTGGAGCCAGCAGGCGGAAGCGCCGCCGGAACTCCCACAGGGGCAGGAACTTGGGGAAGCCCTGCTTGTGCATCCGGACGGCGGCCAGGATCTGCGCGCCCCTCAGCTGGAAAAACATAGAAAAGAAGAGCAGGTGTGAAGCAAAGGCGGTAAAAGTAGTACGACGAATTTTAATAATTAACATTTTCGTCACTGCAGTTGGTAAATTCGACTGCTCTCGCAAATAAAGCACAGTGATATTTAGCCAACAATTAACTCTAGCGCACGTGAACAATATCGTACGAAAAATAAAACGTTAAAAAGAACCCACCTGCGAGCGCAGCAGAGGGATGTTCATGAGCGACTCGTCGGTGGAGATGGTGCTGGAGTTGGGCGAGGACGGCAACAGGCCGCCGCTCAGCGAGTCCCTCCTGGCGTCGCAGAGCCCAGCGTGGTGGTGGGGCAGGAAGCAGAACACGAACTTGGCCCGCGTCCGTCGCAGAGTCTCGACCAGCCCGTCCTACAACAGAGACACGAGATTAGAAGAGTCAGGCAAGGGGTAAGTGCGCTAAAATAAACTTCAGTGTACACTATTTTAAAAAAATAACAGAAAAAGATCAGCCGAAAAAAT